TTTGAGGCAAACTGTTCGCTTCAAGGGAGCGTGAAGTAAGAGTTACCTCTCAGCTGGGGTTGTCCATGCAAGAAGGCAACAGAAACTCTGAAACTGGCTAGGAGTTTTTTTTTCTCTGTTTTTTTCCTGGTTGTAACCAAGCTGTGTAGGGCCCTGGTGAGGTGGCACCCCCTCTGCTGTCCCCCTGCCCTCACCATCTTCTCCACCCTTCTCCAGTCGGCCAAGCTCCGCAAGCTGCCGCCGTTCCTCACCGTCTCCCTCCTGAGGTTCAACTTCGACTTGGAGAAGTGTGAGAGGTACAAGGACACGAGCTGCTACACCTTCCCCACCCAGATAAACCTCAGGCCCTTCTGTGAGCAGGTTTGTACCATCGTGGTCGTCCAGGTGTCTGTGTCCTGGGCGGGCAACTGGTGTATGGAGGACGAGTCGTCTTTTGTTCTGCATTTTGTTGGGATAAGGTGTTGGAGAGGTCTCATGGGGTTCTGCTCTGTCTCTAGTTGTGAATTTTTGGCATTCAGAGTTGTTTCTGAAAGAATTTCTAACTGAGAGGGAAATAGCTTGTCATTAGAGAAGGGGAAATGGTATAAAAATTACCTTAAACCTCAATCTGATGTTTCCTTTAAAGGAAGATTATCACCTGGAAATTGAAATTTATTCTTATTTTCCAATAACACCATGTATAAAATTAGCTATAGGTGATTTCCATGCCTATGTGTGTCTCATTTGTCTTAAGAATCTGTCTTTGCATTCATATATGTATATTTTGGTTCTAAACTGAGTGATACCAGCACTCGATGCCAATTTTTGATCCTTAAAATACATAAATGTAGTTCATAGAGGCACTGCTACTGAAAAAGACATTTTTTTTAAATTGAAATGTTGCAGAATGAGCTTGGAAATGTCTCAGGGTTTGCATCTGAGGAAACCTTTTGGGTTGCTGTCCTTGTGTGAGAGACTGACTGATCTATATTGTTGTTACTATTATTGTTTTTCTTTTTAAAGACTGAAATGGATGATTCAGAGTACATGTATGAGCTCTTCTCTGTTATTATACATAAAGGTGGCTGCTATGGAGGACACTATCATGTTTATATCAGAGATGTGGATGAATTAGGAAACTGGCAATTACAAGTAAGTCCTAAAGGTTTTTATTCTTTGCTTGCTATGTCTTGTTTCTCAGAAAAGTGTTTAGAGCTGGGGATGAAATGTAGACTCATAGGATTGTGTTGGTTGGAAGAGACCTTTAAGATGGACTCCAACCATCCCCCAGCAGTGCCAGGTCCCCACAGCCCATGTCCCTCACCCCACATCTCCAGGGCTTGGGAACCCCTCCAGGGGTGGGGACTCCACCACTGCCCTGGGCAGCCTGGCACAGCCCTGGGCAACCCTCCAGGGCAAGAAATTGTTCCTCAGCTCCAACCTCAACCTGCCCTGGGGCAGCTCCCCACACTTGGTCTCTAGACCCTTCCCCAGCAGCTCCGTTGCCCTTCTCTGGCCACGCTCCAGCCCCTCAAGGTCCTTCTTGGAGTGAGGGACCCAAAACCAACCCCAGGATTTGAGATGTGGCCTCCCCAGTGCAGGGGAATGATCCCTGATCCTGCTGGCCACACCAATGCTGATCAATGTTTTGGTGAGGCACTTGGTCCCTTGGCTCCCTGAGGCCACTCTGCCACAGTATGTCATCTCTACCAAGACTTGGTACCAAATTTGAGCTTCCCAATCTGCTGAACTCTCTGCTGGTATTGGGTTCCCTGCTTCTTTCCCAAATGAATTGATAGCTTTGCTTGTGACTATCACAGTCATTTAGTGGCTAGCTCTGGTTGTTTGTGAGTAAGGTATGTGCCTTTTCTGTGAAATTAAAAAGAGATCTCATGGGTATTGTGTGTGGCAATAGTCTCTAGAGGGTCACAGGGGCAGCTTAGCAGAACCTCCTTCATGCTTCTGAATTGGGGATGCTGATGTTGGGACAGAATATAACCAAACCCCTCTAGCTGTGCATGAAACAACAGCATATGAGTCTTTAATTCTCCTTCTCCAGGAAGAAGAGGACAGGCTGATAGAAGATAAGGCTTTAAGAGATACTGAAAATGCCAAAGAAACAGAAAATCCCCTGGGGGTGTTGAAAGGGATTTTGTCAGAGGTATGGTATGTAAGGGGTTCATTGCTTTGCTTTTGGTGTCAGGGGTCAGTGTGTGCAGGAGCAGGCAGGTGGGAGTGGACAGAACTCCTCTGAGCTTCTTGTGAAGCAGATAAAACTTCCCACTTACTTGACTTTCAGAGCAATAGTGGCACTTCATACAGAGAAGGACCCTTCTGAGGACTTCTTGGGGTGCCTACCAAGCTGCTGCAAAAGATATTGTGTTTGCTTATTAACCAACAGGAATGATTGTAGCACTCCAGAATTGGCCTCTTTGCATGGATCCCTTCACTTCTACAGCCTTCCTTATCCAAGTTTTTAATTTCTCTGTAGGAAGAAGGTAAACAAATTCCTGTGGATCAACTGGGGCAGAAATTATTGGAGAAAAAGGGGGTGTCTTGGAATAAGAAATACAGGAAGCAACACGGAGCACTACGGAAGGTAATCCACGTGTGTGGTGGTGGGGTGGGACTGGGAGGAGAGCTTGCCTGGGGTCCCACAGGAGGCACTGCTGCCTTGGGGGAGGTACAACTGACCAGAGCTGGGCTCCAGATCCCTGTGTGGTAAACGCAGAAGGTGATCCTGCAGAGACTGGGGAGTGGGAAGCACCAGTGTCAGAGGGCTGCACTGCTTGGGGTGCTGTTTTGTGTGTCTGCTGAGGCAGAAGCTTTTTAACTGCCTGCAGAGCATCACTCCCTGTGCTGAGCTGAGGAAACACATGAGGGAGCATCATCAAATCAGGTTTGAAGGGATGGGGTTTGAGGCTGAGTCAGGTGAAGTAGCTAATGCTGCTGTTTTACAGCTGGGGATCCACTTCATCTTGTCCTTGCTGTCTTTGTAGTATTTGCAGAACCATCCTCAGGTATTTCAGTTCAGTCCTGATGAGAATAAGGTTGGTCTGAAGGAAAAACACAAGCTCCCATTTAAGCTGGATCCTCAAGGAGAAGATCTCCAAAGTCCTCCTCAGAAGAATGGTGTCCAATGGAACTCAGAGAAAACCCCTCCCCAGGACACTTCTGCTGGTTGCCATTGGTTTGATCTGAATGATTCCAAAGTCCAGCCCATCAAGGAGAAGGATATTGAGAAGCAGTTTCAGGGTAAAGAGAGTGCCTACATGCTGTTCTACCGCAGAGCTCAGCTGAAGAGGCCACCTGAAGGTACACACAGCTCATCTTGGGCTTCTGGGGGCTTCCTTCAGGGCCAGCTTGGCTCCTGGAGGGGAAATACTGTTGAGCATTTCTGTCCTTTCTGAGAGCTGAAGATAGTTTTCTTCTTAGTGCTCATTTGCAAAAAGGGCTACACTGAGATACCCAGAAGTTACCTCTGAGGAGGTGGTGACCAGTTAATTGGCTCTAGCTGACAAACTTTCCCTAGTCTGCTTCACAAATACTAACAGAACATCTCCTGAAACCAGCACAGGTCATTGCTGATGTTATTCATGTGTCCTTTTCCCACAGGGGAAGGGTGATGGGAAGAAATAAAAGCCCTTGTTTGTTTTTTTTTTGTGTTGTTTTGAAATGTAACTTTCTGTGTTAGGAGAATTTTTACCCTGTGCTGTGGTCTGAAACCAACACAGGTTGTTGCTGATGTTATTCATGTGTCATTTTCCCACAGGAGAAGGGTGATGGGAAGAAACAAAAGCCCTTGTTTGTTTTTTTTTGTGTTGTTTTGAAATGTAACTTTCTGTGTTAGGAGAATTTTTACCCTGTGCTGTGGTGTCCTGCCTTGATTGCTTTTTGTTTTGCCAAAACACGTGTGAGGCAGCTGAGGCCAAACCAGCCTGTGTTCCTTGTTGCAGCACGAGGAAATCCAAGGTACCAAATTCCTGAACACCTTCTGAATGAGATGAGTGCTGCTAATGCTGAGCTGCAAAAGAAGAGGTGAGTGAACAGGACTGGACTGACCTCTTGTGCAGCATTCTTCATCTGCACGTCTCTGAGGTGATGCAAAATGAAGGAAACTCCTTGAGTGGAGCCAGATATTAAACTGATCCAGTGTCATTGAGGTTAACTGAGGAATAGAGTTTGTGTATTGATGGGGAATCACTTGTTTTACTGTCAGACAGCAAGTGTGGAGGAAAGAGCCAGGGGGTCTGCAGCCTGCTTGAGACTTTCCCTTCTGGGGAGGAATGTGTGGAGCTGGTGACACCCCTGGATAGTTCAGCTAGCCAAGTAGAGCCCTGCACAAGAGCCTCGTGTGCTGTCACTGTACTGGGTGGATTTCACCCCTGTCTTTTTGTGAGCTGGAAGGTTTGCTGCTCTGCTGAGCTGGCTGCAGTGTAGGGCAGGGAGGCGAGGCTGGGGCTGGCCTCACTCTGCTTCCCTGCAGCCTGTTCTCATTTGCTTCCCAATTTTTCTCCTTTTAATCATCTGGGACACAGCCTGGGGGGAAAAAATAAAAAGAAACTTCCCATCTCCACATCCCTAAATATTTCCATTCTGTTGAGAAAGGCAGAAGCAGGGTGCAGAACACACAGAGGGTGCAGAACCACACAGAAGGTGCTGCTCTAGAGCAGAGGGGGAGATGTCGTTCGATGCATAAATCACCATCACCTTTGAGCCTTCCTTGTGTTCCCTGTGAGGGTGGAGGGGGACCCAGGGCAGGGAATTCAGCCGTGGGGGTGTCTGCTCCAGGGGGACTGCCCAGCAGCACCTCTGGGGGGGTTTAATTCACTGCTCCCTTGTGCTGCTCTTCCCGAGGGCGGAGTGCGACTCGGCGAGCAACGGCATCGACCTGCGCCTGCACCTCAGCTCCTGCTACACCTTCCACAATGGGGCTCTGCAGCCTGCCCTGGCCTGCAAGGAGGGTGTCCTGGGCTTCACTGTGGACAGGAGGAAGACTCTGGGAGACCTTCGGCAGTTGCTCTTCCAGGTATTGGCTGTGTTAAATGCACCTGAGCCACAGCTCTGTGTGTGAACGTGTGTTGTGCTGCAGTTCCTGTCTCCAGGAGGAATTTTCTGTGGTAAATGTAGTTGGAAGGGGTTAAAAACTGCATGGGTGTACACAGGAGGGAGAAACGTTGATTTAAGGTCTGTTCTTGAATCATGGAGTTGTTTTGGTTGGAAGAAACTTTTAAGATCATGGAGTCCAACCATTCCCCAGCACTGCCAAGTCCCTACTGCCCTGTGTCCTTCAGCACCACATCTCTACAGCTTTGAAACTCCAGGCATGGGGACTCCACCACTGCACTGGCCAGCCTCTTCCAGGGCTTCACAACCCTTTTTGGGGAAGAAATTATTCCTGATGTTCAACCTAAACGTTCCCTGAAGTACTGAAGAAGCCAACTTGACCTATGTAGACATGAAAGCTCTCAGAAGCTCATTATTTCTCTTTGGCCAGCACCTACATGGGCATGGATTGACACTTTGCAGAGCTCCAGGCTTATACTTAGCATTTCAGTTTGTGACAGACTTGCCTCTGTATTTTCAAGGGCCCTTAAAAGGAAATAATCAGAGTATTAAAAAGATTATTAAAAAAGAAATGAGTTAAATATTTAGCTTAACTATTGAAGGTGGTATCTTTGCACTTATTCTCTGTGTTAAAGGGATATGACAATTCCTGAAATACTTTTTTTCATAGATATTGCAAGCAAAGCTAGTTTAGTGTCAGGAAACACTGACTGTTTTCCTGTACCTCACAACTTTTGGTGGTGGCCACTTGATTTTCATCTCTAGGCTGAAGGGCCAAGTCCTTTTCACTTTCCCTGTGTTCCTGGCCTTGCTGAAGTAAATTTGGTATCCAGGCTGTAACACCTTTCAGCAGTGCTGTCATTTTGAGGGGTGCAAGTTACTGATTGCTGGTGTTTCATGTAAATTCTTGTTTTAATTCATCCCCATTAGATGCTGGAGTCTTGGGAAGGAGACATGATTCTCAGCATTGCCAAGCCTTTACCTGCAGGACTTCATCTTTACCAGATACTTGATGGTAAGTTGGCTACATAAAAGGCTTCTATGTTTTTTACATGTTGTATGTACTGCAGGCATGAAGGATTTTGTGTGTAGAACATCTTAGGGGCCTGTTTTCATGTGGGTAAGTTGTGTTGCTCTGGCCTCTTGAGTGGACTCTACCTTGCCCACGGTGGTGCCCACACAGCAGCTTTTCAGGTGATGCTCCTGAGGCAGAGCAGGACGTGCCCGTGTCCCTGCAGCTCACCAGCTGACCCAGCCTGTCTGTGCTGGGAAGGGCAAGAACTTGATGCTCTGCTCCTTTTTTAGGAGATGAGCTGACCCTGGAAGGCATTGGGCTGGCTGATGGAGCAGACATCTTCGTGTGGAACGGGAAAGAGGTAACAGAACCAAATATCCCCTTTCCTTGGCAGAGCTGAAGGGATCAGGGGTCAGCTCCAGACACACTTTTGGAATGCTAATCTGTAGACGTGCTGCTGCCATACCAGTGTTAGCTTTGGGGGGCACCTCTCCAGCCTCATAGCATGGTTTGGGTTGGAAGGGACCTCTGAAGGTCATGTAGGATAATGTGGTTTTGGAGCTTGTCAGCATGTCTTGGGTGATGTACCACGTGCTGCCTCATGAAGGGATAAACAGAATTAGATGTGATGTGGTCAGGTTGATAAGTGCCACTGACATTGAAGGGTACTCTGTAAACACTTGCTGACACTTGGAAGGAGATAGGTTGATAGTTACTAAGAGAGGTGGGAGATTTGGGCAGATGGGAACCTCATGAAATTCAGCAAGGGCAAGTGTAGAGTCCTGCCCCTGGAGGAATAACCCCTGCACCAGGACAGGGGAAGGGCTGTCCTGCTGGAAAACAGCTCTGTGGAGAAGGATCTGGGAGTCCTGGGGGACAAGCAGCTCACCAGGAGCCAGCTGTGTGCCTTGGGGCAAGAAGGCCAGTGGTCTCCTGGGTGCATGAAGAAGGATGTGACCCTGGGTGAGCTGCTGGAGCAGGGGGTCAGGTGAGATGACCTCCAGAGGTCCCCTCCAACCCCACCATGCTGGGATTCTGGGTTAGTAGTGTGATACCAAAAAACTGTGCCTTGTCATTCCACGTGTAAAATTGGGCCTGTCAATGACTGCTTCAGAGTCTGGTCTCTCTGAAATCCTGGGCTGTTTTTCTGGCATTGCATCTTCCTTTTCATATGGAGGCTTCTGCTTAACTCTCAGATGCTGGTCTCCGTGATGATGTAACACAGAATTTTATTCCATTTCTAAATTGGGCATGTCAATGACTGCTTCAGAGTCAATGACTGCTTCAGAGTCTGGTGTCTCTGAAATCCTGGGCTGTTTTTCTGGCATTGCATCTTCCTTTTCATATGGAGGCTTCTGCTTAACTCTCAGATGCTGGTCTCAGTGATGATGTAACACAGAATTTTATTCCATTTCTTGAATGAAACAAAACTTTGCTTTGAAAATATCCTTGTAGTAGAAGCCTGTGGTTCCTTTCTGATCTACCAAGCCAGAGGAGAACACCCAGTAGCAGAGACTCTTGCCTTGCTCATATTCTTGGTGTGGTCTCCTCTGCTCCAGTGCCCGCGTGGTGAACTGGCCTTTGGCAGGGAGCTCTTTCCATTGCTGATGTGGAGATCAGAAAGGCCAGATTGGAAAACCTGACTTTGCATCTGCCTCAGCCACACCTTTGGGTGGTGGTTCTCCACGTTCTGTTGGTGCCCACCCCCTCCTCTGGTGCTCCCCCCAGGTCGGTGGCAGCGCGGTGCTGACGGGCGCCGAGCACGAGCCCGTGGTGCTGAACGTCCTTCGGCTGGCGGAGCACAACGAGGGGGGCAGGGGCCAGCACTTCACAGAGTGCCAGCAGGTCCTCCCGGGCAGCACCAGGCTGGGGGAGCTGCGCAGGGCCCTGGCCCCCTCGGGGGGCATCCTCCTCAGGAACCACTCGGGTGGAGGTGCCAAGAGCTGGGAGGTGTTCCGTGAGGAGGACATGAAGGAGACCATCAGAAGCGTCGGTCTGCAGGATGGGTGCTCAGTCCTCATCCTAGACAGCCACGACCAGAGGTAACTGCTTGGATTAATCACAGCAAAAGGGCAGTTTTGGCAACATCTCAGTTAGAACTAACTATATATGTATATATATTTATAATATTTCTTTAACTCTGAGCATCCATCAGGTCCCTGTCTCTCCTGTGCTGACGGCTCCAGAGCTGGCCCCAGCACTGCTGCTTCTTACAGAATCTTAAATTTTAGTTATTGCACAAGCATACCTAGTTAAATTTTTTCCAGGAGCCTTAAATCCAGCCTCAGAACTTAGACCCTGAAGTGCCTTCAGAAGCACAAGTCCCATTGAAGGCCAGTTACCAACCCATTTCTTGTTGGGTGGGTTATTTTCAGCACCCAGCCCAGAGGTGCCTGGATGCTGCCTGAGGCCTCTGGCTCTGCCATCACAGTGGGTGACCTGGGTCTGTGTTACCAGTTCATGTTCAGGTTTCTTTGAGAGCTGTGGTGGGTAGTGATCACACCCAGGCAATGTGTGATTTCTTTGTCCTTGATCATTTTCACAGCTTTGTGAACGTGTCGAGTGGCAATTTGACTGCTTTTACCTATGACATCAGCTGGCTCCAAGTGAAAAACTTGTGTGGAACAGAGGATGAAGAGAAACTTGTGAAAATTACTGCCACTATTGAAACGGTGAGAAGGGAGGGTGTTCAGGGCCACAGAGGGGGGTGGGAGCCCCATCCCTGGAACCATCCCAGGGGAGGGTGGCCAGGGCTCTGAGCACCCTGCTCTAGCTGCAGATGTCCCTGTCCCTGCAGGGGGTTGGACTGGATGGCCTTGAAAGGGCCCTCCCACCCAAACCACTCTGTGATTCTACATTCATGTGTTTTAGTGTGACACAACCACCCTGGAAATGAAAGTGAGAGGCTATGTCCATAAACAAAAGCTGAAAGAGCAGGGCAGTGTTATTTCTTAATTACCATTCAGGACAGGAAAAAATGCTGCTTTTCCCCAAAGGGTGGGCTTCTTTTGGTAGCTTTCTGCCTTTTAAGTGACTTCCTGTTACAGAAAATCTGAAGCACTACTTAATTTTGCTCACAGAATTACATTTGTGCAGTACTAGGCTTTTGATAAATCAGGAATTAAATAAATGATTTTCTTTTCTTTGGAATACTCTTCTTGGCCACCTGGAACATAACCAGGGTGCCTTTTAAATGCAGGCTGCTTTTTATGGGCTGGCATTCCATAGGTGGTGGTGTTTGGGTTTTTTTTTTTTAGGTGATGTCAGACATCAAAATGAAAGCAATACGGGAGCTGCAGCTCAAGGAGGAGCTGGGTGAGTGTTCAGCTGCTCTACTTCTTGATCTGCTCATGTTAGAACTGGTGTAAGTCTGGATTAAAATACATTTTATGAAGCTCTTGTTCTTTAGAAGCTGTTTGAGTAAGTGTAATATCAACTTACTCAATGCTACACTCAGTTGAAGAAGATCTTGTTGTTTTTTAACCTTCTTCCTTTAAGACACTCCACTTTTTTCTTTGAAGCTTTGCCTGCACCTTTGGAAGCACTTGGTCAGTTCTGTAGCATTTTACAGGCTGTGGGGGACAGCTGGCTTCAAAGAGAACATGATCTTGTGCTGAAAGGATCAAAACAAAGATGATCCAAGACTAGGAATCCCTCTCCACATTGTACTTCTGATGTACTGACTCCAGAAGGAGGCCACCAAAAGAAGCCTGGTGGTTTCATTGATCTCAAACAGTTTATCTGTTTAAAAATCTGTGCCAAATTTCTTTTTATTTGAATTATTTTTCCTAAATGTCTTCTAATTTCTTCTGCTTTTCCCAAATGTCTTCTTACCTGACTCACTCT